TTCAAGGTTTAGAACTGATTAGTTTTTGGTGTCGATCGGTCAAGTCGTTTGGAAAAAATTCGATTTTATTTTTGAGATTTCTCGAAATCTACTGGTCCGATTCGGTCCAAACTTACACGAAATTCAAGTGCAATGAAACCCTTGCCCGGAATGCCGTTTAGTTTATTCAAATCGGTTGAGCCATTTAAAAGTTATAAGAGGGTCACATACATCCACACACACACACATACATCCACACATACATACAGACATACGGACATCATCGTAGAAATGTTCGGGGAAGCTTCCTCGACCCTCAAAACGTCGAGATCTGTTGAGAACTCGATTTTTGCAAAATGGGGTGAAACCAATATCTTCCCGATTTTTAGAAAATTTTCAATTTTCTTAGCGGGAAGTTAAAAAATAATAATAATAATAGTTTTAGTGTATTCAATTTAATTGACAGAAATTTAATCAGTTTTAAAAAGTACTTTGGGCACAAAATAACTAATTACAAAATACAATATACATATATAAAAAATATTTTTTAGCGAAAAATTAAATAAAAAGTTAAATATTAATAAAAAAAATTTAAATATTTTTTTAACTTTTTTTTTAATTTGTTATTTTTTTTAAATTAAATAATATTTTATATGTGTCCGTAATTGTTTTTTTTAAATATTTAATTTTTTTTTACTCTTAAATTGTTTTTAAAGTTTTACTAACTTTCTATTTTTTTTTTGAGACTTGCCCAAGCGTAACTCTAAAAAAATTCTAATTTAAGTAATTTTTTTTATTTTAATTGTAATTAAATCTATAAGAAAATTAAGTAAATAATTAAAATAAAAAATTAAAACAAAATTAAAATTAATTTAATTAAGTAGTAATTAATTTAATTAGTTTTGTTAAATTTCCGATTTTTAATTCATTTAAATAAGAGGAATTGTTACAAACTATTTTTGGAAGAGAATAAATAATTAAAAGCAAACTAAAATATAAATTTTTTATATCAGTTTATAAAACTTATATATAAATGAAAATGAAAATGTTAGAATATATATGTCTTATTAATTTTTATTATTTAATTTTATTTACGTTTGTTTTTTAAAATGTTTTTTAAAATATCTTAATTTTTAATCTTCTCTCTTTTTTTCAAATATATTTTATACTTATTAAATTTTAAAAACAAAAATTAGTTTTTATAGTTGTAGTTTTTGTAGCAACATCAAGCAATCCGCTAATAGCTTTAAAGAGTATTGCGGAGATGACAGAGCTTGGAAAGGAATCATTATTCTCTTTTTCGACTACAAGGACTCGATTGATCTTGTAGTTCTTTTAGCACCATTCTAAAAATATATTTAGTGAATGCTGGTGAGATAAGAAAATCTTTGCAGACATTAAATCAGTCGCTTTCCGTTAAAGAGTTATATCCATTTGTGTAAAATTTTAAATTGATCCGGAAAATAATTTCGGAGATATTGGCGAATTTTTAAGAATATTTTAAAACGCGGCTCCTGAAAATTTAAACGTGTTTTTCCTGAAATATGTATATGGCCTAGTAAAAACAGTTCCATTTTTATTTTTGATTAAATTGAATGTTTAAATTAATATAAATGCTGATAAAATTTATAGCAAATATTTACCGTTTTATTTGACAGCATGTTGCCATTGAACTCTTCATCCCTAAAGGCAAACAAACTGGGATCAGCGATTTTCATAAGCTTATCTTAAAGTGAATTTTTCACCAACACAATAATTCGCCATAGACAGGAAGAGGTAGTTAACACTCGATGCGAAAACCTGACTTTAAAGTGGATGCATTAGTACTTCGCAACTAAGCGTCTAGCGAGTCGTTAGTGATATGTGTGGTCTGGTGTTGTGTTGATGGAACACAATTCCTTTCCTTTGATGCCAAATAACCGGAAATAAATATACGAAACCAAAAAAGAGTGTGATTAGGTACACATTACTGAGTCAAGCAATCACAAAGTTCTCTGAAAAGTTTTTTAGTACAAAATGTTATCTTTCTAACGCTATATAGCATAATCCGATCGTACTTATACAACGCGAGTTACAGATTACTAAAGCCAGCTATGGGAAAAACAAGAAAAAACGTCAACTTCGACTGCACCGAAGCTATAATACCCTTAAAAGGTGAGTTTTTTATAGCATAAAAAATAATATATATATTTCTTAAGTTTAATCGGTCAGTGTATATGACAGCTATATGTTATAGTGGTCTGATTTGAAGAATATGTGCGGATTATGACTTGGCTATTAGTCTAAGCCAAATTTTATGTAGTCACCTTAACAAATAAAAAGTTTTCCATACAGGGACTTGAGTTGGATCAGTTTGTTTACATGGCAGCCACATATATGCCATAGTTGTCCGATGTAGGCCGTTCCGATAAATGAGCAGCTTATTGGTGAGAAAAGGACGTATGCCAAATTCCAGATCAATATCTCAAAGACTGAAGAACTAGTTTACGCATCTACAGACAAACAGGTCGACGGACAGACGGAAATATCTAAATCGACTCAACTCATCCCGCTGACCAATTATATATATTCTTTATAGGATCTCCGACTTTTCCTTTTGGATGTTAGACACAGAAACACAGTTCAAACTTAATATACCGCGTTTAATATTTTGGTGGTTTAATTATTGTATGAAGTCAAATCTTACAAGTTTGAAGCAATATTTTTAAACATTCAACAACCTGTTCAAGTCTTCTCACGCTTTCTTTCCCGCATACTTTATTTTCCCGCCTTTTAATTACTTATAAGTCAACACACTTCTGCTGCCAATTAATTACTTTAATTTAAGTAGCTGCTATAATTGTGATTAAAATTTTCTTTATCTTCTCACATTATCTCGCAGCAGCCGCAAGAAACGCCAATCAAATAACTTCCTTTCTTCAACAACGCAACAACCAGCTTTCCACTCATATGTGCAAATAAACGTAAATTGTACTTTTTATTCCGCCTCACTCCGCCAGCAATCGTATTGACATTGTTGCAGGTAAAAGCGCGCGCTTCGCAGTCATTCCGCTTATCCAAATACGCATTTTCCATTTACCCATCTGTTTATCTTCATATAACACATAATCTCACAATTTATGCTTTCAGCCACAATGAGGTGTTGTAGCACACACACATAAAGAAACATACGCAGACAAACACAACAAAGGAGAGAAGAAGTAAAGCCTTCAAGCCACTAAAGCAACAGCACACGGAACCGCCATAGCCCAGCCACTCGACAATTAAATTAATCGCACGCCCATTTAATTTTGTCATTGCCACTAATTGTGATGATTGCGGCAGCCGCAGCCACTGTGGCAAGCCAACAATTGGCAAGCGCCAACAGCTAGCGTCGAACCGCTAAAGCCGTACACCGTAACCGCCTTGCAAAATGCGTAATTTAAGTAATATTCAAATGCATGTAAGTATGTGTGTTTGTATAGGTGTGTATGTGAGTTTGGGTATGTATGCATGTGCTCGCATTTGTATTTGTGCATTTGCGCACATTTATTTGCATACTGTGTTTATTGTGCAGGCAGTTCATTCATAAACATAAATTCCTGCTTGGCGTACGGGGCGTATGAGTGTCCTTAAAGCCTAACCAAGCAGTCGCTTGATAATTTATATCTTTAATTTGCGCTAAAGTCAGCTTACATGTAAACGTTTATTAAAGCCTTTTTGCCCAAATAGCTGTCTACGCCCATATTTTGGGTGGGTTCTTGCTCTAAAGTGCCACTTCGATAACCTATAATTAGGTATTGGCGCAGACATACTAAAATATGTATATCATATAGATTAGGGTGGAATAAAACTCCACCAAAAATATTAGAAATTATACAAATTGTTATTTTTAATAATAAAAGGTTTTTAAACATTCTCTTCTATGTAATGGCCTAACAATTTCAAAAAAAAATCTTTAGTAAAAAACTGACTGTTGATAAAAATTTAAAAATTATTTTTATTGATATAATATATAATATTTGTAGAAATAATTTTTTAACCTAATTTTGGCTTTTTCATAAATTTTCATTAATATTTATTATTCATAAATTTTTTTTTTTAAATAATCTAAAATTTTTATTTTAGATTTTTTAGAACTTTAAATTTTATTTTATGCTCATAATGTCTAAAATATTACTCAAGTTAATTTTTTTTTTTAATGTATGACATACCACTCGTTTCTATTTAGTTAATATTATATTAAAAATAAATAATTTAAAGTACTTTTTTGTAATTATTATTTTTTATTATTATGCATGTTTTTTTATTTTTTTCTCTTTTGTATTTAACACTTAAACCAATTATTCTTTATTTACTTCTGATAAGTGGTTTATTTTTTAATCCAATTAAATTTTTTATTTAAAAAAACAAACTGAAATATTTTAGAAAATATTGAAAAAGTTTAACTACCAAATCGCTCGAACGTTTTTGATTAAAAAATATTTTTGGTTTTTCTATATTCTTTTTTATTGTTACTTTTTATTATTTATTTTTTTATATATTAATTATAATTTTGTTTGGTCAATAGTTTAATTTAAATATGTTTAATACCTTCATCAGCATAACCTAAAAATTTTACTTTGTAAATAATTTTAAATTTACATATTTTTTAATTTCTAAAAAAATTAAAAAAAATTTATTTTATTTTCTTATAAAATTTTTTATTGCATATAATAATTTAAAAAGTTAAAAAATATAATAATTATAAATCAATTAATAAAATTTCTGATTTTAATTTTTAGCTAATAAGTTTCGAAATTATTTTTATTGAATACATTTCCTGAAATTGTTGAATATTTTTTCTTGAAAATTGATTTAATAATTGATTAATATAACATACTTTAAAAATTTATAGTCTATTTTGTATTTATATTAAATTTTTAAAATTATTTTTATATATTGCATCTCTGAAATTATTGAGTATTTTTTCTGCAAAAATTATTATAATTTTGATAACTGTCAAACTGTCTTTAATTGTAATAGAAATATTTTTCAATTTGTTTTACTTATCTTAAAGGGATCACAATGCGGCTCCTAAAAGATGCGTCGTCAGACATCCACTCTACCTATCTTAAAGGGAGCTATTTCATACAGTCGTTCAGATTTCAGCAGATTTTGAAATTTTGTTTAAATAAAAATAATCCCACTGAAAAAAACTCAGAAAGAAGAAGTTCGGAGGATTTCAATTTTCCGTCTTCAAAACACGAAAACCTAGACAAAAGAAATCTAACAAAAAAATCTTTAACATTCACCGCTTCAATACCAATGAGCAAAAGTGTTGAGCTGACTCATTAATTTAATGAAAATATTTTTTTTATGTTGTAGTAGGGTGTTTCTTAAACGTTGAAAAAAAAGTTCAAACTGTCAAAATATGAAACAACTCGGTTAACGATACGCGGAGTCATTTCTAAACTTGATTAGAAAGAGTTATCCAACCCTCCCCTACCGTCAATGGCCTAATCCTATCGACCGATACTTTACACAGATTTTTATTCTTCCATGGACTCCCGACACCGCAGCATATTCCAAAATATTTTTTTCTCATGAGTTATACCTCTACAAACCTTAATTTTTATGTAAAATATGAACATAAGTTAGATAAGATTCTTCGTTTGATATTAAAAAATTTACTTTTTAATCATTTTGAACCACCCTAAAGTAGTTACTTACAGTGTTAAAATCAGCACAAAAACAGAACTAAACTTTTCTAAACAACATTTAGGCATTTACGCTCATCGGCGAATGTTTTTGATTGTGTCATTAAATTTACTGTTATTGTTTCCCCCACGCGCCTGCACAAAATCCAAAAAAGTGTCAACATATTGCGCGAAGTGTCAATAAATTTAATCACTGCGCACAGATGTGCCAACAAAGCAAACGGGGAGGCGAGCAAAGAAAAGTTCATATGAGGATGTTGTTGTTGTAGAAATTAATTTGTTGTTGTAAAAATGTATTAGTCGTTGTATAAATAACTGATTTTCTATGAATAACTGTTATTCTGTGAATAACGGTTTTCTATGAATTAGTGTAATTGTAGTTGTATAAATATCACTGCCAAAGCCAAAACAGTTTTGGAATATATATTTTCTTAAAAGCAACAACAAACAATAACAAATCGCAATTGGAATTGTAACCATATAGTATATATAAGTATGATTATGTGTGTGTTTATGTATGTTTGAGGAAGTGAACTTCGAGTTGGCAAGCCGAACAATACAAACTGCCGACAGTTGGTCACTCATGTGTGCCTCTAATGGGCCTAGCTCGGCAAGTTGCAGCATTAGTAAGATTTATGACCACAATAAAGCACTTAAATCGCAAATGCAACCGCAATACTCAGAACTGGTGGAGTGGGGAGGGGTGTGGAGTTAGCTGTTTGAATGTATGCAATTTGTTCTAGAAAAGGCGAGTAAATTGTTTTCAGTTAGTAAGGCTAAGTAAACACGTGGCTATTGTCCATTCTCTGAGAGAAAATTCAAGAGAAGATATATGAAAAGTTGTTGCTGCCACAATTTTTCCCAAAAATAACGTAATAAAGTAATAAAATAAGATTCCAGATTTATTGCAGTTAGAAAGTTACTCAATGAGTCTGAGTTGAGTTATCGAACAAATAAACATTCAAAGTTAAATAAAATGATTAAGAAACGGTAGAAAATGCTGCTTCGTTTTAATCGCTTCTCAACAGTTTTTGGAGGAAATTTATAAATATTTCTTTCCTTTTGTGCGTTTCTATTAGCACAAATAAATCAGAAAGTTAGACCATTTCGAGTATATTTGTTACAATACACATACACGCATACCAGCATGTGCATAATATTGACGGTGAAAACTATTAAAGCTGCTACTTCCATAAGTTGTCATCGCACAAATTTTAGGGTTGCTGAATTTTATAAGCGGTGTTCTAATGTCAAAAAGATACATGGAGATTCGAAATAGCCGAGTAGCAACCAAAGTAAAAAAGAAAAGTTTTAGGTTTGAACCTACAACTTTTGCATGGTAGTCACGAACTCATACCATTCGGCTAAGCTAACAGCTAATAGGCTAGTCTATTCAAACTACTCACGAAAACAGAATCGAACAACCCGAATCATCAACAGAATCATGAGCGCAAGTATTTAAGTGACACAAACCATTCAGTAAAAGTCGTGAAGTCATCGAAAACTTGCCACATGTCAGTCGTCCATTTACCTCTGTTTTAAAGACAATAACATCGAAAAAATTAAAAAAAAGTGCTTGAAAATCGTTATGTTGGCATGTCTTATGGCTCGACTTAACACATTTAGGTTAATATTTTGCGTACAAAGACACTTGCCTCAATGCTGGACTCGTACCAAAATATCTGAATCTTTTGCAAAAATGACGTCGAGTAGAGGTCGCAAAAGAGATGCACATTGATAAGACGCATCACTAGTGTCGGTACGTGGGTTTAAAAACATCGGATTGAAACTGTCCAACAATTTAACGAATGCTGCTCCAAAAATAAGCCGAAACCACGTCAAAGTCAGTCATATCAAGATGATTCTTATCGTTTTATTTAATTACCGTGATACGATTCACCATAAGATCGTTTCAAAGGGTTAAACAGTCAATAATGAGTACTAATTGGCAGTTTGAGGCGTCTACGTGAAGCAATTAGTCGTAAACGATCAGATTTGTGAGCAGAAAATTCATGGATTTTCAACACGATAATGCACCGTCACATTCTAGCCTGATTGTGACCCAATTTTTGGCCAAACACGCAACGAGTGTTCTCGTTCATTTACCGTATTCGCCAGATTTGGCTCTCTGTGATCTTTTCCTGTTCTCTAAACTCAAAAATCCGCTTGGGTAATGCGCCATGTATCCATTGAAATCAACTAAAGTCATTCGCAAAAGGCACTGAAGGCTATGACCGCCGAGCATTATAAAATTGGAAAATTGGTTTAAACGTTAGAATGCTGGTCTAAACTCAGAAATAACCTATTTGGAGGCGATAATAATAATTAATATTAAAATACGTAAAAATGTTGTCTTTTAATCAGTCCGGGTTAAATTTGAATTACTTAGAATATACAATATAAGAAGACTTTTACTTAAAAATTACTAGTGAATAGGCTCGGTTAGGTTTTGCAATTGTACCTCACTACGGAGATATGCATGTACTGTTGAAACACCGGTCCTTTGTGATAACTGAAAAACTCTTAAATATGGGTCAAAAACCCTCATGTATCCACAAAGGCCTTTGAGCTTATTCCAAATCTATTGAGACGTCTTATTTCGATTAAAGTTAGTTCCCAGTTGTTTCAACATTAGTATTGCATACGTTGGTCGGTTTAGAAGAAAGTGTCGACATGATACTACCTCACCCAAATACAACTTTGATATTTTTATTTGGTCTCACTAATAGCGAATCGGTTCCCTAAAATAATTTTGTTCGCATGGATCTGATTTAAAATTTCGTTTAACTGACAAGAATTGTTTCAGTTATTTGACAGGAACCTAAGCATAGACTGTATTCAAATGGAACCAACCGATGAATGATCTCAGACTCGAAAAGCAAACCCTCACCCCTACGCCCACAGCTTACTTTGTGAACACAAGCTCTTGAAAATTAGACTTCAATCAGATTCGGATTTAATAATAAGGCCTCAACTAAATAAGATGTTCTATTAAATTTGATCTATCATGCATCTAAGCGCTTCATCAGACATTTTAAATAATTATGTTGGTACTGCGTCTAATTTCTTACTGAGTAACATGCGCGCGGATAATTAGAGACATATATGCCTAGAAATGAAGAGTCGTAAATTTCATTCTCCGGGGATTTTGAGGTTTTACTCGTATGTACGTTGTATGTATGTGTTTCAACATTTACCTAGCGACGAAAAGCTTTTTTATGTTTTTATGTCTTTATGTCTGTATATATCAAGAACAGTATCATGTTAACCCCTATAATAAAAATTTTTTAGTTGGAAGTAATTACACTCCTGATAATAATTGGAATGTTTGCAATTTTGGGTTTTTGTCTCTTGAAAAATTATACCCTTATCCCAATGTACTAAACCATTTAGCGATAATTAATTCCACAAAGTTATATACTAGGGTGGGTCACAAAAAACGTATATTTTTTTTACTTGGTACTTGGAAAAATTGTTTGATAGATATCACTAAGATAGTCTATCCAAGTATGTGCTTTAAATTTTACCGGAAAGGTTCCTTATAGTTTTCTATTTTTTCTTATTAACAGATAGAAAACTTTACATACCGCTTCCAACTACTTGGAAACATATTTCATTTTATGGATTTTTTAGGAAATTGAATGCTTTCAAAAAATGTCTACTGCGACTTTTTCGTAAACCTAAGCGTTCAAAAGTTATTAACGTCTGAATTTTGAATATTTTAATGCAAATTTGTTTGTATGTTTTGAATTTTGTAACTCAATCAAAAAACAAAACGTAATTTTATATTGCAAAGCCGATAGTCTTGTAGAAAATTTTCTGCTCTGCAAAAATAAATTGTAAAATTTTTTAATTAAGTTAAACATTTGCGAGATATTCATCGTCAAACATCAATGCTTATCACAGGAAAAACAAACTAAAAACAAAAGAGAAAAGAGGAAAAAAGCAAAAAACCAGCTTTGCCTTAAAGTAGTCAAAATTTAATCATTAATATCATAACTTAATTTTAATTAATTATTAATATAATAATTTAATCGTTAATATCAATATATAAAAGGAAATATGTTTTCAGGTAACAATAAAACGACAATAAAACAAAACCAGATAATTGTAAGGCGCAGGATATTCCCGTTACAATTAAGAGCTCATACTTGTAGAGGCTTTTTTAGATGAGTCTACCAACTAATTTTTCAGAGTAAGCGAAAAAAAACATTTGTTTTTTTTTTATCCACCCTAATATTTACATATCTATATATGTATGTACGTCTTTACGTATGTAAAAATTTCAGTAAAGCTAATTTACCATAGACGAATATAGGCGTACCTTTATTTTACCACTATAACGGCACTTGGCCTGATTTAATAGCCACCCCACCATGTAGGCCGTTATCCTAATGAAAAATGATGCGTTCATGCGACGATAACTAATTCATTGCAAATTAACAGCAAACCGCGAAATGCTTTGTAGGAAAAATACTCAAAATAGTGAGAGCACAAATTTAGCTAAAGTTTTGATTAATCGGGACAAATGGGAATCAACTTTATCATAACTTTTCATATTGATAATGGCCAAAATTTTTTATACTTAAATTTACCGTTGGTGAATAATAAACCTTTTATGAATTCTATTATAAAATTATCTAGCACAGAATTATAAATATATTTTTAGTAACAAATGAAACTAGTTTAATACCCAGTTGTTAGTTTTCTAAATAACAATTAAAGTGTACTTGCCACATAGTTTCAGATTATTATTGTTATTTTCAAGCGATATTTCATATTCTAGCTGTAACTTTTTAAGCACATATCGAAACAAAATGTGCAATATTTTGATATAAGATTGCCATGTGCTAATTTTAATTTTTTTAAATGTAAAATTTTTGGAAATTTTTTTTTATGAAAAATCTTTTTACTGGCATACTAATTTAGTATTATTTCACAAAAATATAATATATACAAAATCATTTTCTTTCTGTAAAAGTGAAATTTACAAATATTTGCAAGTAGAGTTGCCACCTAATTTCTAAAATAAAATAAATATTAGAGTCTGAAATATTTATAGTAATACATATTAATATTTATAATTGTAATGTTTGCAGTACTAACAATAATTGCAAATAGTTCTAGCAGAGTTACCACCTAGCTTCGATGTAAATATTTTGATTTTGAAGTATTTATAATAAGACGTATTTTTATTTATAATTGTAATATTTGCAATTATTATAATAATAAGACGTATTTTTATTTATAATTGTAATATTTGCAATATATAATAATTGCAAATAATTCTAAGCAGAATTGCCACCTACTTTCGATGAAAAAATCACTATTGTGAAGTATTTATAATAAGACGTATTTTTATTTATATTTTAATATTTCTAATAATTACAAATATTTGAAGTTGAGTTGCCACCTAATTTCGATGTAATAATTAAGAGTATGAAGTTTTGTTATTTTGATTATTAAGCTATGTTACATATTCTTAGAAAGCTTATTACAATAAAAAACATTCAAGAAAGTATACTAACATATTGGTCATATTTTGGTTTGCTGTCAATTTATTAGAGTTTGGTTACTCTTTACTAATTAGATTTGGTTAAAACTAAAGAACCTTTTAACCGAAACATTTAATGGGTAGAGAGATGCCATAGAAGCTTTTAAAGGGCCTTAATGCTAATACATTTTCCATAAAAGTGAAATATTTCAATATTTGTAAAAAGAGTTGCCACCTAATACCGATGTAAATATTTAGAAAATGAAATGGGCATAATAATACATGTTTTAAATAATAATTTTAATATTTACTATAATTACAAATATTTCTAAGTAAAGTTGCCACTTAATTTAGATGTTAAAATTTAGATTATGAAATTATTATTTTATTGATTATTAAACCTTGTTAAATATCCTTAGAAAACTTCCAAAATAAAAACTTTCAAGAAAATAGCTAATATGTATGGAGTCTGGCAACTTTTTACTAATTAGTTTTGATTACATACAAAATATTTTGAACGAATCATACAGTATTTACAAAAATGTTTTCAGGCTTTTACATAGCTGAATTGGGAGTAAATTTGTGAGCAGGGTTGCCAACTTAAATTTTATACTAAATTTATTTTAGTTAAAACTAAATACGTAAAGGGTCATTATATAAATGTTGATACAAATTTTACAACGTATCAGTTTTTTGAAATATAAAAATAAACTAGTTAACAAACTAGTTGCAAAGTAATATGTATTATTTATGCTAGGTTTTTAAAAATAAATTATATGTTAGGAAAAAATTTAATTCCTGGAAGGCTATTATTAGTCACACGCTACTCATACTCAAATTACGAGCAAGTCCAGCTAAATACCAAGAAAACAACAACCACAACACTCACTGCAACAACATCCACAATTACGCTTAACGATAATCTCTTGTTGACATTTACAAATTGGGTATTAGGATATTAAAGCACCAACCGAGGGCTAAGAGCTTAGGGGCGAGGCTAACAGGAATTTCCAAGCTAGCAGGTCAATAGACAGCACACACACACGCTTGCACACTTCAAAAACATTATTTGTTATAAAGCCTAGACACCGGTATTTTGATAATATCACCAATACACATGACAACAAAAACAACAATATTACATACAATAACCACCCAACGTCCAAAACTGGAAAACGCAGCAAATATATAGGGCTTTATATAGAAAAGCAAAACAAACTGCAGCCACACACACACACACATACATGCATACGTATTCTGCATGCATATACCATAATCACAAAGTATCTGCTTGGAGAGGAAGTGGCCGGTGAGTATCTCAAGGGAGGGTGTCAATGCAAATTATGTCGAAGACGCAGCAAAACCAATTTTTCAGACGTGCCAACCACTCGACGCACGACCGACTCGTTGACTAGCCCGACACCGAAAATACACGAACTCTCTTCAAACTATGACAAATTAGGTATGTGAATGTGCCCAAGTATGTATTTTGTAACAGCATACGTTGGGGTCGAGCCTAACAAACCAAAATAGTTACCTGATTTTTGATACAATCAGATAGAAGGTTGACAAATGCCAAAGGGGGAGGCTGGTGTGCATGAAGGTTGCAGCAGGTTTTGCTTTTGTGGGTAATTTGCGGAGAATTCGCAATAAAAATGACAACTATGCAAGTGACTGGTACAAGGGGTGTGTAAAGCATGAACACGGACGACGCAATTGATTGAGTGCGTGTAACGAAGCAAGAAAATCATTATGAAGTGGTTATGTAACGGTAGAAAGGTACGCGGTAGTGCTTAGGTGTATTTACAAGCGTTGCACGATAAGTGAGTGCTGCTTGAATTGTTTGATATTCTTGTTTTAGGTAACTTATAAATGCTTAGTTGTGTTTGTAAGTGTTTTTTATTACAAATCCTTATTATCGCCTACAAGGCTAGTGAGCCAAAACAGGCATGCCAACACTTAATCCTTGGCTGCGATGACCTTAAGCGAACTCTGATTTTTTTAGCGTCGATTTTTTTATAACGCCACTGTTGTACAGTTTCGACGTCATATACATAAACCCACATCTCGTCACCAATGTCAGGTTAACATTTCTTCCTCTTCTTTACTTGGTGTTGAGTTGGCAAGAAAAAGGAACTCAGCCCCAAGGTGGATGGTAAGTGGTAGTTTAAGCTCTTCGCGCTCAATAAGTTGAGCTTTTCTCTAGCTCTAGGGGTTCTAACGCGCTGTCGCCACGATAAGTTTGAAAATCTTACCTTAAGCCAAATGTTGAGACAGCAAGGTTAACGAATGCCAATAATAGAAGCTTTTTGAATGAAGACGAGGTAGAAACATATCAAAACTTCCGTCTTAAGGAATTCCACTCGTATATAAGTTAATAACGGTTTATTTAATATGCAAATACTTCAAAGAAATGTTAGGTTATGTTGAATACCAAGCTGGACAGTTTTTTTCGGAAATCCAATCAATCACTATAAGAGCGTAGGTACTCAAGTTCAAAACTCTGAAATAATTCCATATTAGGCCTGAATATCCAAGAAGGTTAGGTTAGATTAGTTTAGATTATGTGTCTCTATTTCTGCTATTTCGCCAGTATGTTGAAAATTTGAAGTTCCGAGACATTGTAGCCTTGATCTGGCAAAAGTGGGACATACAAGAGGAAGTGTTGAGAAGCTTATGGAACTGGTATCCAGACCATTACTTCATATTTTAGTGAGAAGTAAATAAAAATGTAGCAAATGACTCTATGTCCATGTGTAGAACGACATACTAAGGTCTGAAAAATACATTCAAAAACTCACCAGCTTATGAACCCACTCTCGTAGCGAAGTTGATACACATGCATTAATTTTTGCAGACGACAACATAAGTGACTTACTCTTTTAAGGCTACAAATTTAAAGTACTAGCCAATGTGTGATCGGGGGTGGTCATGAATGTGGCACATTATTTTTATACCTTTTGAGACACAACTTAAGAAAGCCTTAATTTTAAACAAGCACATAAATTTGCTTTAATGAACACACATAAACACAAACAAATAAAGTCTATACAAGCATATATATGTAAATATGTGTGTATTAGGTGAATTTACAACCGCACTTGAACCCTTGTCTGTTGAGAAGCATGTTGCACGACACTCTAGAGCACTTCAACACGATAGACACACACGAGCATAGGCTTGTTACATAAATTCTTAACTTATGAACTTATGTAAAGAGTGTGTGAGTCCTTGTGACCAACAGGCAAGCAGCTTGAGAGTACATGAGAAGGGAAGACACCCCTTAAGAAATTAAAATTAAATTTGCTGTGGAAAATAACGATAAGTTCAACTAGAATAATATTCCTGTCATAACGGAAAATTATGTACCGCTCTGAGTAATAAAAAAGATAGCTTTCTTCAGTGGGCTCAAATTACGAGAACGAAAATCATTTATACTACACTTATATGGGTTGACTTAAGCCATTATATCCAATAGTGAATTTAAAAAATATTTTTTTTTTTAATATACATATATCGAATATACATGTAATTTGAAATTGATCCTGCAAACAGTTTCGGCGATATACGTAAGAATTTTTTAACTTAGTGTAATCGGCTTCCAACATTTTAAGC